CGCAGCATGGTCTGTCCTGATGGTAAACCTTGCACCATGGAGGTAAGGATGGAAATATGACAGACTCTTTACTATAGCAAGAAATTCCCTCCGTGTTACACAGTAGTTCCTCCACAGTTTTTCTGCTGATTTCTCCAAGCCCATTCCCTTGGTTGTGGTTTTGCTAGATAGTAGATAGGGACAGTGGTAATCTCGTCAATCCATTTATGCACATCACTAATTAGATGACGAGACATTTGGCTATCGATATTTATTATTACCCAATTTAATGTCAGGGTTGACGCTACAGACAGATGCCATTCACATTTAAAATCATCACAGATTATACTGAGATTCTTCAATCTAGCTAGTCTTGGCAGTGTGGTAGTAGAAATCATAGGAGAAAGAGACAACTTAGGGTGCAAGCCTTTCTAGATACCTTTCATTGTTCGACTTTCACAACAGGTCCAGTGTGTAGAGGGTAGAGGATGGTATGCCTACACAAGAACTCTTCAAAGTACTTGGACTGGATGTCCAGGTCGGCCAGCACGTCCGTGTTTTCAGGAAACCAGGCACCATGGGCACCCATAGGAAATCCTTGAAAGACAATGGAGGTAACCCCTGTAAGATATTCTATTTGTGGAGCCAAACACTCGTACCTTTTAACCTTAGAAGCATAAGTTTCTCTCAATGTGTCGTTCGTAAGTTCGTAGCAAACTGTCATGTCAACAACCACCGCTTTATTATCACGATGGAAGATCAAATCAGATCGCCCACGTTCACCATTGTCCGTAACCAAGGTAGGTTCTTCCAGAACCTTCCAGCTTTTAAAGCTGGCCTCGGCGATCAAGTGCTCACAGATCTTGTTGTGACGCCGTATTCTCATGGACTTCAATTTCGGGCATTGACCACTTACATGACATAGGGTCTCCCTCATTGATGTGCAACCCTGACACTTGGCAGAATTCCCTCTGCTGAGGGCCTCTTTGGTAGGGTATACGTTACCTCTCATTGCCAGACACTTCACCTAGTGGTGTGGTTTCATACCAACTGGCTTGGGCAACCAGTGGTTGGCAGATCTTGAGCCTCTGAAGAGCTCCACACCTTGCCCGTGCAAGGCCAACCTTTTCCAGTTTGGAATGATATGTTCCAGATTGCTGGTCAGGCGTAGGGATCGGAAGCCCAGTCTTATGAGCAATACCCTCGATAGCACCCACTAAACCATCGGATTCCGCCCAAATCGATGTGACGGGTCGGTCGAGTGCACTAGTCTCAAATACGTTTTGATCTTCAGACAAGGGACAAGAGACTCTAATTTTACTACAGCTAAACCCCCGTCACGATGACGGGAATATAGCATGCCATCAGCCGTACAGGCAGGTAGATGACACCAATGTTTGACAGCTTGTTTGACCATGCTGTCTAGTTCCTTGAGTTTTTTCAGATTCAGATTGCCCAGCTCAAGTTGGTAAAATAGCCGGGGCAAAGTGTACTTACAGAGTATGTCGACCCTCTGATGTGGCTTGACGGGAGACTCTGTGATACTTGCAATCCATTTCTCTAGGGTGGGTTTATTCCAGTCCATGGACAGACGCTTGCACTAAGATAACAGTAAGTTTGTTCAGGATTGATCATCGGGAGCGTTTCACTGTTTACTAACCAGGAAGGGCAGTCATTAATGGTGAAGGTCTTATTCGACCCCCTAATCAGAAGTCCGGCACTTTTGGCGATGTTAAGGCCAAGTCCGTTCCCTGAACAAAATTTCTCCACAGTGTTCAACATCGACTGAAGACTGGCGTGATCTTTAGCCAGTAGTGCCATATCATCGGCATATGCTAGGGATGAGACAGGGACCTGCCCTTCCCTAAACATAAAGCCTTGGCTTTCCTCTTCCAGTTGACGAAGGAGAGGATCCAGAGCAATGTTAAACTATATAGGAGACATGGGATCCCCTTGTTTGACGCCTCTCATCAGCATGATGGGGCGAGTAGACTGGCTGCCTACTCGAAAGGACGTCGACCAACAACTGTACATGTCCTCCACAATTCGGACGAAATGCGGGTGGACAGTGAACCTTTCCAGGCTGGTCAGAAGATGTTTGTGACCAACTGTGTCAAATGCCTTAGACAAGTCAAGAAGCCCTAGAGCCAGAGTTCCCTTCCGCTTAGCCCTCCTCATAGCAGACTGTAGTAGAAATATATTATCTCTACATCCAGCCTGAGGGACGAAGCCTCGCTGTCAGGGATTAATCTGCACCGTCCGCTCGAGACGGCATGCCAAAATCCTGGTATATAGCCGCAACACAACCGAGGAGATCGTGATTGACCGCCAGTTTTTGACATCCTGCAGATCACTCTTCCATTTAGGGATGAGCACTGACCTGTTGGACTTCATGCACTCAGGGATGCGTCCCAAGAATTGCCATATGTTAAACACATTCGCCAAGGAAACATGGATGCCATACTTCACACGTTTTTTTGTAGGAACGGTAGGGTAATGTTGTCAGGGCCGGGTGCCCCGTTCTTCATACCCTGAAGTGAGTTCATCACTTCGGTTGGCGTAAACGGTTTCAAGAGGTCGGTGTTATTGACCCCTGGTGGCTTGGGGCAGTCATCTAGAAAAACTCTATCATTTGACACACCATAGACCTGATCGTAGTGGTCTTTGATTTCCTCCTTTTTGAGGTTACATGTGACAGCTTCCCGGCCGTCTAGTATTTTCTCAGCCAGGTACTTTCACTGGAGGTCATACATCCTCTGAAACCGCCTATAACATTCCACACGATGGAAACACCTTTTGTATGGTCTTGGTGCAGGTGTATTGTTTTCTGTCACCTGCTTAATTGTTCTCTCATGATTCCAAGACGATTGGATATGGGCAAGGTTGTCTACCCATTGTTGAGTTACGATTTCGATCTCCTGCCATACCAGTTCAGTGAGTCCCTTCTGATCTCTCAGCTGATCAAGGTACGAGCAGAACTTAGAGTCAGGGTCGGGAAAAGGATGCATTCCTTCCCAGTCCAACTCCTCGTACTCCCCGACCTGCTCAACAGGATCTCCACGATTCTGAGTGGTGGGTGTACCATGTATATTAGAAGACCATATCCTGTGCAAATCCCAGTGCTTGTCTGAGACCTGTTTGGAAGTCTTACCAGGTAGATGTCCCGCACAGAGAATATTAATGCTCTTTTGGCCCAAATACACTATTTCCTCGGACCACACTACCTGGCGAGGGCGTGGCAACGGCGTCCTGACTCCCAGAGAATGGATGCATTCAGCATTCCTTGAACAAGGATGCCTATGACGCTTATGTTGCAAAAGCCCTGATTTAGTCTTAAAACTATCACTGCAGAGATCACACGAGAAATTGCTCAAGTTCGCAGCAAACATAAAAGTTCGCCGCCAGGGACATTTCGGAATGTGACAGGCTATTGCGTGACGATTGCCATTACTTTTACCACAATATGAGCAGCATGCCTGAGTTTATGAATTGTGGAAGTTTGTATGGTGGACTGCAAACTTCGAGTATGCCAAGAACTCTTTGGAACATAGGTCACATGCTACCTTTCTGAAGGGCAGATGCACCATTACCAGAGAGCCTACCCATTGAAACCTACCCTCAGTTACGCACGATAACTGGTTCTCTACAGACGGGTTGCAGTTGTCTGTAGGAGGCAGACATTCACCCTCAGTCAGGCACGATGACTGGATTCTTACAGACGAGCTGTCTGAAGCTCGTGGCGTGGCCCTTTCGTCAGTTTCGCCCTCAGTCACGCTCGATGACTGGATACTTACAGACGAGCTGTCTGAAGCTCTAGGCATAGCCAAACAGATATTCATCAATTCCTCTGTTTCAAAGTTATCCTTAATTCCGCCCTCAGTCACGCTCAATGACTGGATACTTACAGACGAGCTGCCTGAAGCTCTAGGCGTAGTTATAGTTTGACTTAAATCGGTATGTATGTCATAAATAAGGTAATTCTCCACCGAAGTGGACTCGTCACAAATTGCCTCGCGTGGGGAGCCGTTAATAAACAAGCTGTCCACCTGAGTGGTTCGGCACTTTTCGACCTGGATAGGTAGTAAGTCCGTTGCACCGGGTACACCTTGGGTATGTGAGCCGGTGGTGGAATAAGTATTTCTCAATTCCTCTATTTCAGACGTTTAAAGTCCCTTGTCGATTCGTCCCTCGTCGCCAGGGAATCACTCGGAACCTACCATCCCCAGTTGGTGCCAAGTAGCTCGGGTTTGGCCGCCACCCTGGTACCACACGGACGCCAAATCATAGCTCTTATTTCTTTTAATTGTGCCCATATACAATAAACGGTCTACTCTGATATAGGGCCGACCAGTTCCCTATAAACTGCAAATACAGGGTAGGGTTGCAAGCTCCTACCAGGTACCCAATAGCTGATGGGGCCGGTAAGTTCCCATCATGGTTTAGGGTTTTCCTTCCCAACCTGGAGATAGCTTCTCCTGCTGTTGGACATATAGTGGTTGGCGAGGCCACTACATGGGTTTTTAGTGTTCTCCTTCATGGGTTGGAGGTTTTGGTTACAGGACTTGTCTGTATCCAGCCGTACCACGAGGAAGTACCTCCAAAGGATAGTGTGTCGGTTCCACCCCATCCTAGGATAGTTTGGGTCTCCTCCCATTAAGAGAGTTATAGAACTCCACTCTCTTAATAGAGTCATAGTTACTCCTGCCATTTACCCGCACTTGGTTGAATTTCTCCACTTTGACATTCAGAGCACTGAGCACAAAGGTACATTTGTGTGGTGATGGATTATTTCACCAAGTGGCCTGAGGCATATGCAATACCAAATCCGGAAGCTACAACTGTAGCATTGGCTATTAGTGATTTCTTCTTCAGGTTTGTTATGCCACACGAACTGCATTCGGATTAAGGCCGTAACTTTGAATCAGCTGTGTTTCATGGATGCTGAAAGTTGATTGGTATACGAAAGATCAGGACAATGCCACTTCATCCACAGTCTGATGGGATGGTAGAAAAGTACAACTGGACACTGGGACAGGAATTGGCAAAGTTTTGTAATAGCCGTCAAGATGACTCCCTCCACTGATGATGGCCTATAGAACAGCAGAATATGAATCCACTGGATACACTGGATGTTTCATCGGAAACTTCAGCTGCCAGTGGACCTGATAACAGGACTCCCACCTTACGAAGAGTTGCCTGAAAATGTTCCAGAGTTCGTGAAAGTGTTATATGAAAGGATGGATGATCTTCACCATCAAGTGCATTCGAACATAAAAACGTCTGCTGATTCCATGTTATGAGAAGAAATGTACTGAAGTCACCTTTGTACCAGGAGAAAAGGTGTGGTTGTATAATTCCAACAAGACCAAAGGGAAGTCTACTAAGTTGTCTTCTCCATGGGAAGGGCATATTACATAGTGAATCGTCTCTCAGACGTGACTTTCCGAATAAAATGTTGTCAGCGAGGTAAACCAAAGGTGGTACATGCAAACAAGCTTTGGCGTTATCACAATCCAGGACATTTGAGTTGGGAAGAAGTGAAAAATGGAATAAAAGAAGCCGCTGAAGACGTGTCACCTGGAAAAGCCACTGTGGAAGAAGAAACTGTACCTGGTTTTGAGAAGGGAAACAGTGAAGCACTTGATGAAGTTACTACCACTGATGTGACTATTACCAATAATGGGACAATTCCCGATGGAGCAGATGAACTCCACGTGAAGCAGAAGCCAACAAGATGGAGACCAGTACGGAAGAAGATACATCCTGTAAAACTAAGGTACTTTGTTGTATTTTAATTTTTTGTTTGTAAATTCTGTACATTTAATTGGCTATTGTTCGGGACAAACAATACTAAGGAAGGGACAGTGTTACGACAGCGGAAGTCACGCGACGCCTGAAGCATGTGTGCTAGAGTTTCTAGAAGGATCATGACTGTTCTTGGGAACTCTGGTCTTTTCCAGGCGCCCTCTATTTTTGTATATAAGCCCGGCAAATAAAGCAGAGAAAGTTTGCAGATGGATAGATAATTGAGTCAAGCGAGCAGTAGGCACCGTAAGTAAAGTACGTGAATCGTTCTGAATTATAACGTGTGTTTATAAAAGTAGTTAACTTTAAAGCGACTGTGAAAAATCTTTGTGTTGCAAAGTTGTATCGAAAAAGAATAAACCAGTTTTAATTAAGAAAGGACTTGTATCACTGAAAATTCTCGGAGAGAATTTTTACGGTAAATTATCAAACAAGTAGATACGCAACAATATTTAATGTTTGTTGAAAAATGTTATTAAAATCAAAGTGAATTATAATACACTGTAGCTAACTATGTAATTACAATATAAAATAGGCCCCCAGTGGCACAGCAGTAACTCTACAGACTTACAACTCTAGAATTCTGGTTTCGATACCCGTAGTGGGCAGAGCACAGATAGTCCATTGTGTAGCTTTGTGCTTAATTACAAAACAAAACAAACAATACAATATAAAATAGACAGTTCACATTACAAAACTGTAAATATGTAGTGATGCATATCAGTTTAATTACTTTTTTGTATTTAATTAAACCGTGTGTTTCTAAAATGTAATCATCAATGATAAAACATCAATTATTACATATTGTGCCAGACATACAGCAAACGGTCAGACTGTTGCAGTTGACTTAGAACAAAATGAAAGATCGATTCTACTGAAATATGTGAGATTTTTTAATTATTTTAATTATCTCATGTTTCAATACATTGTTGCTATATATTAGACGATGATTTCAAATAGTGTATTGTTACGTCTCCGTTTGTTAATTGATTTTCCGTAACTTCGTTCCGACGAAACTTTAGCGACACAAGTCCTTACTTAATAAAACTGGTTTATTCTTTCTGAATATAACATCACGATACACTTGATTTCAACATCCCTATATCTAGTAATCTCCCGACAATTCACGAAGGTACAAGATATTTCCAGAAAGCAGGGGCGTGACACTAATCATGTGACCTCGCTGAAGCAACACTACCCCCTCCTTAATATTGTTCATCCCGAACAATAACCACAAACAATAAAACAATAACTTAATTAAATGTACAGAATTACAAACACAAAATTACAATTCAACAAAGTCTCTTAATTTTACGGGACGTATCTTCTTCCGTACTGGTCTCTGTCTCGTTGGCTTCTGCTTCACGTGGAGTTCATCTGCTTCATCAGGAAATGTCCTATCGTCCGTAACAGTCACATCAGTGGTAGTAACTTCATCAAGAGCTTCACCGTTTCTCTTCTCAAAACTGAGTAGAGTTTCTTCTTCGACGGTGGCTTCTTCAGGTGGCACGTCTTCACCAGCGTCATTTGTTCTGTTGTCCACTTCATCCCAACTGAAATGTCCTGGACCGTGATAACGCCAAAGCCTGTTGGCATGCACCACTTTTGGTTTACCTCGCCGACCACATTTTATCCAGAAAGTCACGTCTGAGAGGCGATCCACTATGTCATATGGGCCTTCCCATGGAGAAAACAACTTAGGAGACTTCCCTTTGGTCTTCCTGAGATTATACAACCCTACCTTGTCCCCTGGTTCAAAGCTGACTGCAGTAGATCTCTTAT